TTTTTTTTTTTTTTTTTTTGATATTTAGCAATCATATTGCATGGAATGCAGTTTTATTTTCGTTATTTGTTTGTTCGCTTATCTTTTTCTGTTTTAAATATTATAATTTTCTGAAGTTTTCTTTTATATCTGCTTCATTTTGACAGGCGTTACAACATTTAATTGATGTGTTGAATTAATTATTTTTTTTATTCGGGTAAAAAAATCTTGCAATATTATTAGTTATTTTTATTGGCTGAAGTTTCGGTTGTTTATTGATGAACAGACGTGTACTTGAAGTGGGGAAAAAGAGGTGGAATTTTTAATTCACCAAGTTGTTTTCGCTTGACAACCCAAAAAGTTTATGAATAGGGGGCAAGAGAATGAAAAAAAAATGGGTTTTTGTGTTTGAGGAGTAGTTTGAGAAGAGACGGATACTGTTTCACATGCTTCTCTTGGTTCTTCGTTTGTTGATGTAAAGCATTTGGAAGATTAGAAAAAACAGTAATTTTGACAAAAGTTAGAGCGCCAAGGTAAGCAAAAATGTTTTTTTCATTAGTTTGACTAAAATTTGTGGCCAAGTGTTGTCATCATTATTGCGAATGTTAGCAGTTTTTTCTATTTTCTCTCTCTTTTTTATTTTTTTAAAGTCGAAAGGGTTCTAGTGCTGTAAATAGTGTACTTGAGTTGGTAACTTTCACAGCAGTTTACATTAATCTATGAATTTGCAGAAAGAATGCAAATGAAAAATAGGGGAAACTTTTTCAAGTTGTTGAGTACTATTGATGAAGCATTTTGTTTCTGAATTTTATTTTTTGCATTTTTTTTTCTTGTTATTAGTAATTAAAGTAGATAGTTTTTTGCTGTGAGTATTAGTTATTCAATTTTGCGATGATGAATACATTTTCAAAAGGAAAGAAGGCATTGTAATAAAGAAGGATGATTCAGTTGCTGATTTTGCATTACTCGCCTGAACCTAAGTGTTTTGCTTGCCTTTCCTTCAAGTGCTCAATAATTTTAATTTTTATCTCACTGAGGGCATAAAAACAGTTTTCAGAATTTTTAAGGCTATTTCCTCATTGGCGAAACCACCATTGAGACCAACTATGGTTTGATAGTAATAGTGTAAACTTTTTTTTGCTTTGTAAATTGTAAACACTGATTCATTAGTTCCTTTTTTTTTGTTTTGTTTTAATATTTGCCAAAATATGTAATTCTTTTGATTTATGGCTCTGTTTGTTCAGCTACCAAGGCTACCAAGTTCTAAACGTATGATGTTTCAGTGGAACGAATAAGCTCTTTTGTCTTGATCGCTAAGAGGACGAAAATGAAAGCAATTTAAAATGCATTGGGCTTGTGTAGTTTTTATGTTACGTATCTTTTTAATGCTACTTTTTTTTTTCGTCTTTATATTTTGAATAAACAGATGGAAATTATTTTTGTTCTTGATTAAGAATTAATAAAGAAAACACGGAAAAAGAAGGAATTGTATTGTAGCTTTAGAGATTACAATTTTTTGCGCATTTGGTTCTTTACAGCCGTAGTGAAAACGGTTATATTGGTTAATCTTAAAAATTTGACGAATTGTGTTTACTTTTTTTTTTTCTCGAATTTCGCTGTCTCGTAATTGGTATTGATTGCTTGATGCATGGTTTTTGTTGAAAATTTTAATTCATCTGTATATTTAGTATAGTAGTAGTAAAGGCGTCATTTTAGCGGCATGATTCTGATAATCTGATCTTTTAGTTGTTAAGAAGGGAAGTATTTCTTGTTTGTTTTTTGGTATGGTTTATAGCTTTAGTATGGTAGGCATAAAAAAATAAACTCTTTATTATTTGTTTTGGATCTTTTACATTTATGTTTTCCGTTGTTGCTGCCACTAAGGAATGTAAAGAAAAGAGGGGTTTTTTGGAGTTGTACCGTTATTTACGGGGACGCTTCCGGCATTCTTTTTTTATTTATTTGTTTAATTTATTTTATTTTTGATTTTTGCCTTCTTAATTTTTATTTATTTATTTATTTTTTTTTTTATTTTTTGAGGGTAACAAAGAATACCGTGTATTAAAGATGTTCACTGAGATGTTGTATCACTAACCGATTGCTGTAATTACCATGAGGTACAGCACTTTACAAGATGAAATTTTTTTTTTGATCGCAACAGTGACACTTTTAATTATTCAAAATTCTCGTATTCGATTGATGCTTTTTATTTTCACAGCTTTTTGTTCAATTATTCAACTTTTTGAAGTTTTTTTTAAATTTAATTTGGATAAGAATTGTTTTTCAAATTTTTAAAAACAAATGTCTCCTGTGAGATGGTCACACAAATTTTTTTTTCTCTTTTTAATTTATCTTTTTTACTGAATCATTTGAGTACTGGGGACAGCAGTCTTACAACAAACTTCATTGATAACCAAATTTGTGCATTATTGTAATTGATTTCTTCTGAACAATGCGGGTTTTTTCGCCTCACATTTGCAACTTCTGTATAGTGGAATTTGACCAGTTCTTTGCTGCTTTCCTTCATTTTTGTACTGCACTTCTAATATGTATGATATAATTCACGTGTTACAGGCATCTTTTTATTTGTGCTTTCAGTGGTGACCAAGTTGTTCTTATGGAATTTAGTTCTTAATTTTTTTGATTGTAGTTAAGCCTTCTCAAGGAATTGGATGGGTGATATTGATCTAGTTCGTCTGCCAAGCGAAGTTCGTGAACATCTTGCGCAGCTTGACCTAGAACTCTCTGAAGGTACATCTTTTAAGATTATTACTTAATCAATATTGTTCTTTGCCTTCAGATTTTGGAAATTTTGAGGTTTTTCCACATCTTGATTTTGACGCATATAATAGGGTTCTCTTGAAAAGGTCTGCTTCTAATACATAGGATTAGTGTTCTGTTGGTGAATTTCCGCCTTGATCATCTTATAAATTAGTTCCAACTTAGTCAAAGGCTTTCTTCTTTCAGGGGATATTACGCAAAAGGGTTATGATAAAAAAAGACAGCTTCTTTTAGCTCCGTACATTCAGGCGCAAGCCAATGGTTAGTTTTTTTCTCATCTAACGAACCTTCTGTCCAATTCTTGTTTTTTTAACTGTGAGATTTTTCATTTTCCAGAGAGTATTTTGTAATCATTACTGGAAGTTGAAAACAGCTTATTTTTTATGGAAGTCAGGAAAAGGTTCTATTGTATTTTTAGTCAACTTCAGTCTTTTAGCTTTTTCGCATTAGGGTTCTTAGAAATTTTAGTGGAAATTTTGTAGTTCCACTTTAATTTCTAAAGTATTAACTAGTTTTTATAAACTTGCACTAGTGAGGAAGTGTGTAACGAGTGGTATAAGGCGTAACATTGACGGGGAAATCTTACTGTTAATGAACTATATTTCTTAAGTAAAATTAAGGGAACAAAGGTACCGCTAGTCCTAGCACCAAAGCTCACAAGCGTCACCAGAGAAGGTTAACTCGGGACGAATCTCGTTTTCATTCTGGTAAGTATTTCTGTTTTTTTTAATACCAGTTATAAATGGTTGGTAATACGGTCTGGTAACAGGATAATTGTTATCTGTCTTTTCTCTTACTACCTGAATAGTGTTTCTTGAGGTTTTTGAAAAATTAGTAGATTTTTCAACTCAGTCGGTTGTATTATCTTTTGTAGAAATTCGTGCTGAAGCTGTACAGCAGGCTCTTGCAGAATACAGTAAAGGTTAGTTTCTTTGCGTTTCTCTTATGTAGCTTGAACTATTTCATTCAACTCTTGCAACATTATGTTGTGTAAATTCATTTATGAAAGGAGGGAGAAGGTGTCTTTAAATCATTCCGCATATTTTAAGGCACAAAAGAGCATCCGAAAGTTCCGCAGCCTATCAAGCGTCGCGGTGGGAATTCTTTTTGTGAACGAAAGAATCGTGTTTCAGGTTGGAAATTTTTGGTATATGATAACCCGTACAAGTAATCATTATCTGCTACACTTTTTACTCCCTGCAGTAGCCTTTGCGCAGTTTGGTAAAATATTTTTAATTTTAAGATGCGCTCTTGTGAAGTATTCATTAGAAAGTTTTTATAAATGAGTACTTACGCGAAATAGACGTGGCATTGTTGGGGAATTAATTTTTTGGCTGTATTATAGGAGAAATAAGGAATTGCTCAGTAATTTTATTGTATAGTTGCGTGAAAAAGAGCGGTTTTATATTGTTTCTGTTAAGCTTTCTTTTCTGACATTTGATTAAGTTTAAGGTGGTTTGGGCCAGGCATATGGGTTGCAGTTTCTAGGAATCTTACTGTTATTATATTTACCTGAAAGATATTTTTTCTTATTTCTATTTGGAAAAGAAATAGATGGACTCTCGTGTTTAATAACTTATTTTATTTGTACATAATCCTGAGCTTTAATTAAATTGGTTTTGTTTTCTAAAAGTGTCAAGTATGGAAGTTGATAGCTGGCTTACTCAAGCAGTGATTCTTGTTAAGAGGTCACTCGCCAGGTAGAGTGCGCAGCAGTTCAAATTGTTTTCAATTTTTTGTTTCTGTATTTGAGTTTTCTTTACCTGGGATGCTGAAAAAGATGTTTTTTTAGGCGTTTTTGAGCCATAACATGAAATTAAAAAAATTCTTCGAAATTATATTTTCTCTTCTAATGATACTTTTAAATTGGAAATCGTGATGCCATTTTTCCCAAAATGAGCGCAAGTTATAAGAAAATAAATTTTTTTCAATTAGTCAGTATAACGGTTTTATAAATACTGCACCAGAACAAATTAATTGGCGAACATTGGTAAATGTCTGCAGATTTTCTTAGGAGTAATAAGAAATATATTAATGGTAATAACAATATGTATTTTTACTAATTGCTTTGGATGTTTTGTAGTCACGTTTTGTAGTCTTTTAGAGTTTTAATTATTGAATCAAGCGGTATTTTTGCTTCACTCGAGTGGGTTTCACTTTGTTTTAGACTGGGTTTTGCATTTTTAATATAGGAGCAGAAATTGCATTATATCTGCGTTTTTAATAAGACTCGATCATCCCGTTATATAATTTAGGCTCCAGTAACTGGAGACGTTGTGAGTAGTTTTTCTTTCGTTATTTTTTTGCTACTTACTTGATAACTTAAATAAGTCACAGGTTGTTAAAGACTTATTTAGTATTGCAAACCATCAAAGTTGCCAGTTATTAGTAGGCTAGTATCATTGATACTGGTTCAAGAATTCAACTTTTAGACTCAAGTTCTGATGATGAGAGCACTTTGGGTAGTACAAATCGGAGTAGACAGTCAGGTTCAACTCGTTCAAAAGATTCGAGGGAGAGGTTGAAAAAGAATCGTATTGGTCGTTCATCTGGCGGAGGTATAATTTAAGCTCTGTATAATTTTATTTATACGTTGAAAGTTTTAGTTGCTGACTGGAGGAGAAAGTCGTATTTTAAAGACTTTTTCAAGAAGATAAAAATAAACTTGTTTTTTGGTACTTCTGCATTTCTTTTTTTTTTTTTTTTTTTTTTTTTTTTTTT